TGTTAGCGACAAAGAATTATGTCAGGCTACGAACCAAAGAAGACCATCTTGCCCCATAAATATGTTGGAGGAAATGGAGATGGATTGAACATACGCTAAGGATACCATCGAGTGATATCATGTGCCGGCCCCTTTAGTGGAACCCGAATGGGAAACTGCGATTTGGGTGTCCGAAGGTGATGTGCAGGAGATTGTATGAGGAAAACATGAAAGATTATAAACGTGGAGCCAGCTAAAGAGGGCTGCAGAGAATAGAGTGAGACGGAGATGTGCTTCTGAGGCCGTCGCAACCCAAGGGAATAAAGTTAATAATAGACCGTTCTTGTCCATCAAAAAAGTCCTTTCAAAATCAACAGCTGTCATTGTATTCACTTATATTTTGATGCTGAGTAGTTTAAATAAAAAAAGAATGGGTACATTTTACTCCGCCTGAACAGCATAAATGAGTACATTCTGCTTAAAAAAGGAGTAATTCATGTTATAAAATGTCATGAATTTGAAATGCTTGAATTTCACCCCCCTTGATTCCATAAGGAAGTCGACACGGAATCTCACATAGGTCACTGTGGTAATCCCTGGTTTTATAGAAATAAACTGAAACAATATACAACAGAATGTATAACATTAAAAATAAACAAATCTAAGCGGAAAAGATAGGATCTGGACTTCACCGATGATATATGTCTGATTTCTCACAAGCTGGAAGATATGCAAGTGAAAAGTAACAAATTGGCAGAAGCATCAAAGATAGGAGGGATTTCAGGTGAACATAGAGGAGACAGAGTTGATGAAGATTCCCGGCCAACAGCAACATCAACGACGACAGAGAACCATCAGCATAAATGGGAGGAATCTGAAAGAAGTAACCTCCTTTACCTACCGACATGGAAAGCATTGTTTTAACTACAGGCGGACGGAACTCATGAGGATATCAAAGCGAGGATCGGGAAAGCAAGGAAAGCTTTCATTACTCTCAAGTCTGTATGGAGATCAACAGCACGCAGCATGAAAAATGAGATCCAGATTTTCAACTTTAATGTGTAGTCAGTTCTACTATACGGATCAGAGACTTGGTGAGTCAGGCAGGGCACTTCGGACAAACTACGAACCCTCATCAACAGCTGTTTTCGCTCAATACTACTCAAGATCAGATGGCCTACCAGAGAAGATCAGCAACAGAGATCTCTGTCAATGAGCAAACCAACCCATCAGGAACCGACTGTGCAACAAATATGCAGGGAGAAATGGAGGTGGATTGGCTATACTCTGAGAAAACAAACCATCAAGTGACATCATACGCCAGGCCATCACTGAAATGGAACCAGAATGGGAAGCGGCGAATCGGTCGTCCAAGGGTGACATGGAAAAGGTCATGTGAAGAGGAGATGAAAGCATGTGGACAATTGTTAAGCCAGGTGAAAACGTTGGCACAGAACCGAAAGCAGTGGAGACGTGCGGCTGAAGCCCTATGTTCCTCTAGGGATTAAAGGAAACAATAATAATAAGCGGAAAAGATAATAAGCAGTTGTAGTAAAATGTTGTATAGATGTGTATTGAAACTATGTTGTCTTCTCTATTCAAAAAAGGAATTCTTTTACACAAAAAAATAAGGAAATGAAATGATAGACATTCAGACGGGTAGACATCTATTTTGTCTACAGATTTAACTCAGTTTTACTTAAAAAATAATAATAAATTGTTGAGAAAATAAAATCCGAGTGTTATGAAAGTTCAGCTGGACTTTGGCCCCCTTAGCTGTAGATCAAGCCGTACTAATCTTTCCAATCTACTTCTTTTATCCGTAAATTATTCACGCGAACGCGTTATTACTGTCCCAGGCGTGTGCCATTAATTTGAGTAGATTGATAATTCATTTTGGCATTTGTCAATAAGGAGTATGTCAAACTGTATTCAGGAAATCACCTGAAATATGAATGCTTCGTGGACAACTTCGAATGGATCACTTTAGTGATACGATTTCAGAACTCAGATGATGTTCGCATTTTTAAGCATTCACAGACGCACTTATTCAAGAAACCAAGATATCTTTAATATAGGCTATAAGAAATGATCATCAAAAATGGAAGAAATGAAAGTGCTAGCTGTCTTCAACCACAGATTTTTGAGTTCTCTCCCCCGTGTTAAGTGGTGTCATATAGTGAGTAATATTGAGGTTAGGCTAGGTAAGAGATGGAAGCCAATCGATAAGGTTGTGAAGCTATCACGATTGAGACGGTTAGAACACGTGCTTTGCATGCCAAGCTACTGCTTTCCTCATCGAGAAATGTTAACTAACATGAGATTAGGTTGTAAAAGAGTTGGGAGGTGATCAAATCAAAGCATGGCATCAGTCCATAAATTTCTGGACTGTTGGTTTGAAGCAGCCACATAGAGAGGTATAAACTGTCTCCCCGTAGCCCTCAAGATGCTAATAATCAATGGCTGGAGACTGTTGAGAATATGGCTCAAAATTATTCTCATTTGTTCAGGTGCATTAACTCTTTATGATCTACTAGATCCATTCTCCACGTAATCCTTCTTTCTCGTGTGAATTCCTGCTCAGTGTAGTTCTTTTGGATCTCTTCTTTCTCTCTTTTCCCTACCTTTGTGTGCTATATGGAGTGTGGGAACTTGAAGTGCAACACTTTTGTGCTAATTCCTACGTTGAAACTCAGTTAGTCGACCAGTTAGTGGCATAGCCTGTAGATATCTTCGTAACCGCCAAAAATCTTTTAACACCCCCAATACATTATCAGTCATAAGGACATAAGTATTACTTGAGTGTGGGAAAGAAAATTCTTTAGACTGTCTTCTATAATGACTATTAACGCTGTATTATTTAGTTTGACTAGTGCTACGCGTGTAAAAATAAGATTCCTTCTCACCAATAAAAAAGGCCAACTGTCATTATTATTATTATTATTATTATTATTATTATTATTATTCATGTGCCGATTTATACACGCGTAAGGTCTTTCCTTCAGTTTTATTATCTATTTGGCTTGTACAGCCTCCATTAATGCTGCCATCTCCTCCACCTGTCTTATTTTTTTATTTTATCAGAAAATGTGGAAAACCATAATGTTACTTCTTGATGGTAAAAAAGAAAAACGTTATATTTCCATGTTTTCCTGTCTGAGACAAAATGAATAAACATGTTAAAAAGAATACAGTGATGATAAATAAAAGTACTAAAAGAGAAAAATTTGCACTCAGCCCATAGACAGATAAAGAGGAAAATGTGGGAAAAAGCTTTAAAGCCTATGATAAAAAGGTGTCTCAGAAATATATTTTTTTATTATATTGAGATATACGACATCCTGCGTTATGTATCCTGCATCAAAACGTTATAATATAAATGAAGTATTTATTGTTTTTGTGATCAGTTATACTTAATAGTGGCAAGGAAGAACTATGTGAAATAGGGAGGAAGACTAGTAATATGGTGGACGGTTAAAAACATTCCTAGAAGATCTGGATTTTGAGGAGGATTTATGCTTTATGTCTCACAAATTTAAGGATATGCAGGAGAAAACGAACAAGTTAGTAGAAGAGACGGTGAAGAAAGGATTTCAGGTGAACATAGTGAAGACAGAGGTTAGGAAGACACGTGAATACTAAAAGCAATCACTAATCACCATCAATAGGAGAAATCAAAAGGAAGTTGTCTCCATGAAATTACCTGACAAGCACTAGTTCAGCACAGGCAGTACGGGTGAGGATGTCAATGTCATCGAGGATCGGGAAAGTGTAAAAGGCACAGAGGTAGAATGCTTGTCATTCACGCCTCATATGGTCCGGCCGACACACTCCTCTACCTCACTAAGCCATTAATAAGACTGGTAAAAAAAAAGATTGGGCATGAGGCCAGCAACCTCATAAATATCACTTCTGCAGAAACTTCAAGCTTGTAGCTTGAAGCCCTATGTTCCACTGGGAACGTAAAGGAATTTTTAAAAAAACAACAACTCTAAAATAGATGAAGAGATACACAGCACTCAGAATAAGGATCTTCACTGCTCTAAAATCAGTGTGGAGAACTGCTTCTACATTCATCATAAAGAACAAGATCTGACATTTCAGCGCTAACATCAGGTCAGTAATTCTAGGTGGTTCAGAGACTTGACTCACATGTCACCAAAAGCATTTCCAACAGCGTTTTACTTACTTCCATGAACAGCTGCCTGGTAGATACTCAAAATCAGGTGTCCAGTCAGAAAGGATAAGTAGCAACGAATCAATAAAGAGCCTATAGCCCAATAAATATTCATAATTGAGTGGAGATGGGCTAGACATACGCTGAGGAGACCAATGTTTGATATCATACTGTTGGTAGGCCGTCGAATGGAACTTGAATGTGAAGGAACCAGTTGTGTGTGTGTGTGTTTGAGAATAACCTAAAGAAGATGTTGTGAAGAGGAAATGAAAGCTTATGGGTAATAGTGAAGCCAGCTAAAATGACTGCGTGGGACAGAGTGAAATGGAAATGCTCTGCTGAAGCCCTATGTTCCGCTTGCCACCCGAAGGAATGCTAATAATAATGATGATAACACTTGAAATGATTAACTTACGAGTGATTTATCCCACTGGGGGTTTCATTCATTTTCTAAGGCGTCTCAGACAGCATCACCATTTATGAAGAAAATAGAGGGAAGGTATTTTACAAGGTTCATCCTCCAACTTTTCAATATCACTAACCATCCACGTGATTTGAACAGATTCAGGAGGTTCATATTAGTTGATCGTCAGAGTGTTACTTTTCCAGATAAACCATGAATGCTCTTCACTATCTCCTGACAAATGTGTTTTATTCAGAGAAACTTTTTGATTGAAATGGCTGGTATCTAGCTGCATGAATTGCTTTCGCATATAAGATCCTATTTCATTCTTTTTTGTATTTTTTATTTTGTAGAAAAAGTTACACATGGCATCCTAATTTATTTTAAAAATATGAGAGTTAACCTAACAAAACTGTCCTCATTTCGATCTATATTTCTTAGGTTGCATATACTGGAAGTGAACGTGTTTGTCGTCTGGAAGGCTTACACTTAAATACAACATATCGATTTCGTATTCGATCTACAAATGGAATATGCCAAAGTGCTTACAGTGACATAGTTGCAATTAAAACATCTCGTCGTAAGTGATAAATGTATTTTGTGCATCCTGAGATTAAATTTTCTATCATAATAATAAGAAGAAGAATAGCTTTATACACTTATTCCATTTGCTGCAGAATAAGATGGTACTATCGTTTATTTCGTCGGCTTCTCATCAACTGCGTACAGCCTTACAAGTTTACATGATGTCAGTTGACAAGAAGACTCCAAACTTAATAAACAGTGCTCTGAAAGTACACTTATATAGCTTCTGCACCCGGGTTTAAACAAAACAAAAATAAATCTTTGGATACCTTGGCAAAAGAATTACGTAATAATGACAAGAGGTGAATAAAATGATGAGCATCTAATAATTTGAGTAACAATTTGTTGAGCTCAACTCAAATCACACTATAGCGAAGGCTGTGCAATCAAATAAAAGAGAGAGAAAGAGAGAGAGTAAAGACATCCAGTTACCAGGTCAAGGAAAGACTGATAACTTCTTCTTTCTAAACACATCGATAGAGTTTTAAGCGTTTGATAGCAGTTGCTTCAGAAAACTTGAGGAGAATTGAACTTTATGTTGTCTAGTGGTAATTTTACAGGATCTCATGGCCCGTATTGGCGATAAGCCTCCTAATGGCACTGTTGTAAGCGTCTGTTCCCTTGAGATGTAGGCTTTTCGGCACATATTCAGAAAATCTAAGGTGTGCATGTGTGTATCGCCTTCTTTCTGTTCTTCTAATGTAACCGCTATCGCAGATGCATTTAAATTTGTATACACAATTAGAGCTAACAATAAGAAGGGTGTCTGTCGGCCGTTTTTTAAATTCTGCACTTAGTAGCATACTGATTAGAACACTTTATTCATATCTCTTCAAAATACTTCGCCATTTTTGATATCATTCTCTCCCTCTCCCTCGCTATTTGTCAGCATGTTTCCAACTTCCTCAGGGTAAATTTTGTTATGTTTTTATGTTAATTTAGTGTCTTTACTTATTATCTTTATAGTCGAAACTCCATTTATTTATAGGTTTGGAGGGTTTCTTCACTTCCTGTTCATTTATGAATCGTTTGCACAAATCCCTAGTGGTAACAAGCATACACATAGTGAAATATATTAGCTGACTAAACATGAACAAGTTCCTCTTATCAGCCAAAATTAAACTTTTACTACTAAAGCTGATACGATTGTTTAAATAAGATTCTCTTATTTTGATTGGACACTAATAACTAGTGTGACGTGTCTAGTCCTTTCTTTGGTGCAGACTGAATTCCACCAGTCCGGTTTGCAATGTGGCCACCATGACACTAGGTAGCTCGCCATCACGGTGCACATTGATTTGATGATATTAGACGGGTTGGAGGCAATCGGCAGGAAGCGTTGTTTGACCTAGATTTCGTGCTAGTTGGCACTCACCAGTCAGCAAGGCGTATCTGCAACCTTGAAGGACGCTGGTTCGAATCTCAGGGGAGTGGGACATGAGTTCCTTCAAGGTAGCAGATACTCCTTGCTGACAATGACCAACTAGCACGAAACCTAGGCCAAGCAATGCTTCCTTCCGATTGCCTCCAACTATCTAAGATTCTCTTATTTATACACAGAGGTGTTGTCAGTGATGTCCAACTACTTATATCAATCAATCAGTCAGTAGTATATGCCGTCATGCTCGTTTATACCTGCTTTTTCAACAGTCAGTTATGATAGCCAGTAGGTCAGTTTTCTAAAGGAAATTGTGGTTAACTTTCACCTTGGACTGTGTAAATTTCAAGTCGCAAATCAATCTGTAAATTGATAATTTGATTTACACAAAATAGTAATGTTAAAGTAAAATAATCAGCATTCTAGTTTTTGTCAATTAAAAGAGATAAAAGTGAGTTGTAGATGTTTTGCAAAGAATTCAAGAAATTCATAAGAAGACTAAAGATCCAGGTGTCACGAAATATGAGTGACAATAATAGTAATAATAATCTTCAAGTATTGCTGCGTCGGTGGCACAGCGGCTAGGACTCTCGCCGACCATTCACACTGCACGTGGTTCGATCCCCTGCCGGCGCACACCCGATATCAATTTGGGCTACCGAAATCACATGCTGAAAATTCCATACTTGTACCGAAAATACGGTGTGGAATCAAGCTATAATGAAAATAAAAATAAAATTGATTTTTGTTTGATTGGTTGGAGGATTTCATCATGAGCTGACATCACTTAGAGAACCATTGGAAAACCTGCAGGGAGTACTGGACGGCTGTTTCGTTTTAGCTCTGTGGGACTCTTCATAAAACGAACCCAACAACGGGGTACGAACCCAGGACCTTCTGGTTACAAGACTAGCAACCTAGTAGACCATTAAGCCACTGGGACCCAATCCAATGGCCAGCCGATGAATTCTAACTTCTGCCAATTCATGACATAGTGTGACCACTCTGCAATGTCTTCTTCGATGAGACAATTCCTTGTAACCAGAAGGTCCTGGGCTCGAATCCTGGCAATGGTTTCATAATGATGACGAGTCCCAAACTAGGACAAAACAGTTGTCCAGTACTCCCTGCAGGTTTTCCAATGGTTCTCTAACTGATGTCGGCTCATGATGAAATCCTCCAACCAATCAAATAATAATCGATTATTGCTTAGATTTTTCATCCACTTATTCCCCATTATGAAAATGAATAAAATAAAACAGTGGTTTAAACAGAACAAGATGGTATCATTTTACTTCGTCAGTTACATTGTGAGAACAGAAAGAAAGGTATACATTAGGTTTTCTGACAGTATATCTAAATGCCTATATATCTTGGGAACCAAGGGTCGTAATAGCGTCATTAAAAGGTATTTCATTGATACATGTTACCTTGAGACCCTTTAAGATCATCAATAAGCAATATAATCCACTTTTTCTCAAATTTGCTGAAGCAATTGCTCTAAAACATCTAAGACCTGGCTTATATTTTGTGAACGAAGCAGTTACCAGCTGGTCTCTCTTAACTCTGGCAACTGTACTTCTTAGATCTTCCTTTTAATTCTTCTGTTTTGGTATGTAAAAAATTTTGCTTTATTTTGTTTCTATTATATGGGTTGAATTCACCAGCGTATCATGAAGTTTATCATTAAACTTCACTTATCACCAGCTAATTCACCCATTGTATTTGTTACACTACCCCTTTTTCAATGTATCCAAACGTTTATAAAACAAATTAACTTGGGCCTTCAGTGTAGCAGTCATAAAGGTGTAACTGTAACGCTGAAGGACAAAGACTTGGTACACCCTATCTTCAACGCACCATTTGCACAGATCTTCTGTGTTGGGCTACTGCTGGCCTTCATATTCTGTTTTTTTGTGTTCTTTTCTCGCCTCCTATGTATCTTCACAACGCTGTATCATTTGCCTTCTCTGACATCAAATCTATCTCCATTCTATTTGATGTTTTTATGCCGATGAAAATCTCTTTATATATGTATCTATATACTACTAATAAATCTTTTCAGTAGCACACGCCACATAACTTCTGAGCACTTATTATTATTATTCTTTTGAGAGTCACCTGGTAACTGATATCATGCTTCCTTTACGGGTACGTAGAAAAATCTCTGTGAACACATACTCAATAAATTCTGTTTAGGTTCTATACAGCTGATAAGAAGCAGACAAAGCGAAATGATGTCATCTTATTCTGCACAAACTGTTGTTCTTGCTTTATTCTAATTAGATATTCCGTATATGTAGTTCATTTGGAAAGAAATCAGTGATCTGATCAAATTAATGTCAGTTATTTCTGTTTATTGTATCTACGAGTCAGTATCATCTAATTTCTGTGACAAACTGTTGTGAAATACGGATATTTAATTCAACTTACACCTCCCCGTTGATTCATTGGACTGAAGTGCTCGGTCTCTGATGACATATCGGCCCCTTGAGCGGATGCTTCAACGATGTCCGAGAATTTAACTTGAAGTAATTTAGGGAATTCAGGTACATCCAAATGAAGAGTCCCGAATAGGACGAAATGCGTATTTTAGATTCCACTGCTGGTCACCATCCATCAGATTACTTCAAATGAGGATATCGTTGTAATTTCTTATAATCAACATGAAGTTCCTCTAATAGCTGATGTTTGGGGTTACAAATTCGTCTTACTTGAGAAAGACGACAAGCGAGAAATACGGACACCAGCTATAACTAATTAAAACTAGGAAGTACTGGACAGCTGTTTCGTCGTAGTTCATGACTCTTCAATGGTAAGGACCTACGATCTCAACTGGAGACTAAACTTTGAGCCTTCAGTTTATAATAACACCAAGTTTACCATTAAGTCACTGGGATGGGATCCAATGATGAGCCTCTGAAGAGTCCCAAACTAGAATGAAAGGGTTGTCCATTGCTCCGTGGTTTCCAGTGATTCTCTAACTAGGCTCAGTTCATGATTAAACTTGAAACTAGTTAAACCCCTGCAAAGCCAAACTTGGAAATATCACCATTTATCTAAGCCATATACCAGGATTCCGTTGTTTCAACACTTCGATAATATAAGTTGCATAATTACCGAACTTATAAACCTAGGACAAATTTCTCTGATATAGGTACAATCTTAATCTGACTAAATGATTCAGTATAGTATAAATAAGTCCATCCTAGTGAAATTTATCATTGGTATTAATCACACAATCATGGAATGGTTGGTTGGTTTTATCTTAATTTGGCAACCTGCTTAAAAAACTTAGGCTACCGAAAACTTCCATCTCTCTCTATTGCATATATTCTCTCTCGTTTGATTTGTTTTAATCGATCAAGATATGACCTATAATTGTATTATCTACTCTTCTGTGTATTTAAAATGTTTACAAGCCTCTGATTCTCAAGTTCCTACTAAACTTGAGGAATGGCAGGAGTGTGGGTGGCAATGTGTCCCAATATATGAGATAATTGTTCTTCAGTTATTTCCTTGCGTTTCAAAATGTACTTCTGACCATCTTACAATTGGCTTTCAACTAGATGTCGTGGATTAATATATGTGTAAAACTTGGGCACTGTGGTAGTAAGTAATTCCATATTAGTTTGTTTATTTGATATATCACACAGTGAAACAGTATTATTTACTGGATGACGTTTCGAACAAAATTTGTTGTTCATAATCATATCAATTATAATCACACGACTTTGACACTTGAGTTTTATAGTTTTCTTTGTTCTCTCGTGTTTGTCGTTTGGGTAGTGTCAAAACTCAAGTGTCAAAGTCGTGTGATTATAATTGATATGATTATGAACAATAAATTTTGTTCGAAACGTCATCCAGTAAATAATACTGTTTCACTGTGTGGTATATCAAATAAACAAACTAATATAGATGTCGTGGACTTCTTGAAAGAAGGAAACAAAGCAGAAATATCATGATGGAATGGTTTGTGCTTCAGCTCAGAGACCGTTGTGTTACAGGATATTATTATTATTATTGTATCCTTTAATTCCTACAGGAACATAGGGCTTCAGCCGTGCGTCTCCACTGCATTCGGTTCTCTGCTAGAGTCTTCACCTCGCTCCAAGTATGCCCACACGCTTTCATCTCCTCTTCACATCACCTCCTCCAAGTCACCCACCCTTGCACTGACGACCAACTCGCCGCTTCCATTTCGGGTTCCACTCGAGCAATGGCTTGTCTAGTGATGTCACTTGATGGTTTCCTAAGAGTATGGCCAATCCATCTGCATTTCTTCCTGCTTATTTTTTTCACAATGGGTTCCTAGTTGGTTCGATCATTGCCAGAGATCTCTGTTGCTGATCTTTTCTGGCTATCTGATCTTGAGTATTGAGCGAAGACAGTTGTTAATGAAGGTCTGTAGTTTGTTTGAGATGCTCTTTATGACGCGCTGGCCAAGTCTCTGATCCGTATAGAAAGTAGCACTAACTTCACATTGGAGTTGAAAATCCGGATCTTATTTTTGATGCTGAGTGTCGTTGACCTCCACACAGACTTGAGAGAAATGAAAGCTTGTCTTGCTTTTCCGATTCTTGCTTTGATATCCTCATCAGTTCCGCCTGTAGTTGAAACGATGCTTCGTTACAGGATATATTGTCGATTAATATTTTACTTAAAGATATCGTAGGAAGGGAAAATAACATGCAATAAACTCCTGAAAATTCTGTATATTATATAAATAATGCCCAGAATAAAGATGTTATATATATATATATAAAATTACATTAAAACCATTTAGTTTAAATAATGATTAAAATTTTACCATTGTTAGTAATTTCAGTGAATTCTTTAACAGTCATATCTCCTCTCATTACATGTCTCTTTTCACTTTTTAACTTGATACAGTTGCATCTTTTGTTATGAATCCATCATCTGGACCTAACCACCCTGTTAACGGTTTAAAACTGTCTTCTGATGGATGTACTATCAGCGGTCAAGGGGATGTAGAAGATCGTGTTCTTTTAGGTGATGTTGGTTTCTCAGACGGAATTCACTATTGGGAATGGCATGTTGAACAATATGACGGTCGGGGGCAACCTTCATTCGGTATAGCGCTGTCTCAAGTGAGCAAAGATAAAATGCTTGGTAAGTCATCTGTCATATATCACTATTATCATTATTATATTATTCTTTTGAGTTCCGGCCCCACCTGCCGTTTGCCATTTGGGTTACATTCAAGGACCTACCCAGCGAACTTTTCCGTGTATGTATGTATGTATGTATGTGTGTATCTATTTCCATTTTCTTCTACACATCTGTTGAGCAATAGGTTCTTGGTTGTTTCGTTCTCAGAGTTTCTTGGTGCTAATTCTTTCTGGCCATCCAGTCAACAATATGAAGCAAAGGTAGCTGTTGATAAAAGTCCGCGTTGAGCTGTTGGAATTGCTTTTCGCGGCTCGCCAAGTTTCTGACCCATACACAAGAAATGACTTGACATTTCTGTTGAAAATCATAACCTTGTTCTTCATGCTGAGTGCAGAAGATTTCCACACTGATTTCAGAGTGGTGAAGGTGTGGCTTTCCTTTCCACTTCTGTCTGGTTTTGACATCCTCATCAGTGCTGTCATTGTAGTTGAAACGGTGCTGCCTAAATGAGTGAAGGAATTGACGTCTTTCAGATTCCTCCAGTTAATAGTGACTGATGTTTATTGTTGTTGATCGGTTACTTTCATCCCCTCCGTCTTCTCTATGTTCATTTGAAGTCCTGTCTTCGCTGTCTGTTCCTTCTACGAATTTGTTGGTGTTCACCTGTAGGTCTTGGAGTTTTTGTGACACTAGACACAAATCTTCCGCGAAATCCAGATCTTCTAAGGTCTTCTTATCGGTCCAACATATTGGTATCCGCTCACTTCCAACATTCTGACGTCTAATCTAGTCCACCACAATCATGAATATCCCCGTTGTTAGTAAGCAATCTTCTCTTACTCCTGTCTTCACTTCAAAGCCTTCGCTGAGCTCTCCACTGTGGATCACTTGACACATGTCATTGTCATATATCTGTTGAATGAGGTCAATAAAGATTTGGGGTACTACACTCAATAGGGGTGAAGTAGTTTCAAAATCAGTTTGCGGTCAATACTGTCTAAGGCATTTTCAAAGTCGATGATGATGCCTATATTATATACACTTTTTATCCTGACGGGACTATTGAGAAACCTACTCCTCATTGCTTCAACAGACAAAAATATTTATTCTGACAATTCAAGGTAACAGGTCAATTTTTTCCCGACTAATTTACTTCTAAACTCAATCAGGTAACTTGTATCTCATGATTTATTTCTTAACTTATTGCCAACATGGCCTTTCTGCATGGTTTGTTTCAGTTCTACTAATAGAAAGTAAACTCCGCGTTCTCTCTGCGGTAGATTGTATGCAGTCTAGTTAAGAGAGATAGAGAGAGAGAAAACAAATTTCTGTTAGTCACCTTCAGTAAAATCAGAATTATCATTTAGTCTATGCAGAAATGCTTTTTAGCTTAAGGCGAAATTTTAATCCCAAGAGATGGTGAAAAGAAAAAAAACTAATTTGTTTTCCTAATTAAACACCATTTTAATTCACAAAAACAGAAAAGAATTGGGCAGAACAACTAGAGCAAGACGGTTGTGCTTAAAATTATCAACTTTACTGATATTTTATGACCTTTATGATTATTTCACTGAATATTATAGACAGCAGTGAAAAGACTAAATAACCTTATGTAAGTGTTGGTTATACCATGCAAATTCTACCATGTACCTTTTCACAAATAGAATTGAAGGATTTCCATAGACAACTTCAAACAGTAATAGATGGGATCCTAAAATGCTAAATCAAAATCCTAATAGGTGATATGAATGCTCAGCTGGGAGAGGACAATATAGGAGGAGAACTTATCACTGGTTGAGAGGCTATCGGTGGACTAAATCTTGTGGAAGATCATGGGGAGCTGGAAGACAGGAATCATTTGAACCGATAAGGAGACTCTAAAAGATCTAAACTTCCCGGACGATTTTTTCCAATCTCAAATTAACTCGAAGACCTACAGGCGCAAAACCAACAAATTGGAAGAAGAAGAAGCAGGCACAGGACTTCAAGTGAACACAGAGAAGACGGAGGTGATGAAGGTACCCAAAGACTAACAACAACAAAAAAGCACCAATTAGTATCAATAGAAAGAATGCGAAAGAGATCACCACTTTCATCCATCTAGGAAACATCGTTTCATCTACAAAGACCACAGATGAAGACTTCAAAGCCAGGATAGAAAAGGCAAGGCGGATATTCATAATTTTGAAATCAGAACAGGACAAAATGGAGATGTGTTGTTGAAGCCCTATCTTGCACACGGAACCCAAGGGAATCTTGATAAATAATAATAATACATAAATTAATCAAATCTCTTAAAATCAAGACTTGAAAATTAAACTAGTGCTCACTAGTGACTGAATACGGGATAAATTTGCCTGAAGTCCTAGTAAGAAGCCAGGACTAGTGGAACTCATCGAGTTCAGCGTGAAGACGAACAGTAACCGATAACATTGGCTGGAGGTCACGCTATATGTCGCAAACTGGCAGAAGTTAGAATTAATGAGCTTTTCTTGAACTCTGATCCCCGGCGAGGTCATCGGTACATGGTGTTGAAGAGTCTCGAACTAGGACGAAACAGTTTTCCAATATTACCTAGTGGTTTTCAACGGTTCTCTAACTGAAAACAATTTGTTATCAAATTTGAAGTCATTCAAATCCTTGTAAATAAATGTTGTTGATATGAATTCCGATAACATGTGAACTATTTAACAAAATAAAAGGGAAGATGTTTAGTAATTCGGTGAAAAAAATCTACATCTTATTCCCTCGTTCTCTAGTGCATGACCCAAAGTTGAGTTAGTTACCTTGAATGTTCTTCAAAGAGAAGAGAAATCGTCTAGTATTATTCAAACACTATTTAATATAAGATTTCTTGTCGAAGATGACTTCGGACAATTTGCTTACTCTTAAAATATACTCATTTTTCTGCACGAATGAATGAATTTCACTAACATACTTAATATAGTAGCTGTTTATTTTCTACTAACTCTAAACCTGTAGTATCCGCAGTCAGGATTGATTATAGTGGAGTAAATCATACAACGGACTGTGAGGAATGAAAAGATGGATACACAACGAACTCAAAAAATACCGTAGAAAATCTTAAATTTGTGAATGATTTGCGTCGCATGCCTCACAAATTAGAAGATGCACAAGAACAAATCCCAACAAGCCGATAGAAGAGGTAGCGAAGATATGAGGAATTCAGGTAAATAACAAACACCAGTCAACGTCAACGAGAAAATCTAGAGGAAGTCACCACCTTTACTTACTTGATTTGGTCAGTATCGTTTCAACTACAGGTGGTAGCTCAGATAAGCATGTCACATCATGCCTCTATCTCATAAGGAATGCATAACAGACGTGAATTCCTCTCAAAATCAGTGTGAAGATCTAAATTACAGTATTTTACTGCAAAGGACAATATCTGAATTTTAAACACTAATGTTAAATGTCAGTGATTCTATATACTTCAGAGACTTGCCACCTCATCGGAGGCATTTCCAACAGATTGCAGGTTTTCACTAGCACTTGTCTTTGCTGGCCTGATACAGAATATCAACTGACCGATCACGACTAACTAACTACCTATTAAGCCAAAAATATGCAGAGGAAATGGAGGTGGATTGAACTTACGCTAAGAAAACCGCTGAATGTCATCACACACTAGGCCCTCCGGTAGAAACCGAATGGGAAGAGATGAGTTGGATGTGGTGATAATCTGAAAAGAAAATGAAAGGTCATAAGCATTCTCCGAAAGGGGTGTAGGGAATTATAGAGAATAGAATACAATGTGGATGTGTCACTCAGTCCCTATGTTTATCATAGTACTCAAGGGATGATTAATAATCACAATAGGTAAATTTGTGAAATCATTCACGAGCGCATATATTAAATAATAATAATCTCTTTTCTCAAAATTCATGTAATTAACTTATATGATTTGACTACGATAAAGTAACTCCTTTGAACAATGAAAAAGTATTGGTGAAACTGGTTGTTTTGAAATAATCGAGATTTGTAGCTCAAGTGGATGATATTGAATTGGTTGTGTTCTCTCACCTGGTTGATTTAATTGTAGAGTCTCGTTGTCCTCCTAGAAAAAATCTTCAACGCAGGTTTTAATATGGAATGAATCTATTTGAATTCTTCATGTATTTCCTGAATCAGAGATTGACAAAAATATCACTAGAGATCAACTTTACCAACTAATAAAATAAATCACATAGCAAGAAAGTTCAGATTTAGAATAAAGTAAGAACAACAGTTTTTGAAGAATAAAATGGTACCATCATTGTTTATCTCGTTGGCTTCTGAACAGCTGCTTACAGGCCAAAGTCACTATTAAATAAATCTACAGAAACAATTTTAACATACTTGCACAGAGTTCATTTTAAACAAAAATCAATCAATCAGTATGTGCATACAATAATAATATATATCTGTTGTAATAATAAACACTTTATCCCGAACAATAATAATCGTACACAATGGAAACTTCCGGCATTATGTATTCAGATGAAAGAGAGATGAAAATATCCAGTTACCAGGGCAAAGAAAGACTGATAACCGCTTCTTTCTGAACGCACAAATCAGATTTCAGGCGCTTGATGGAGATGGCTTCAGCAAACTCGAGAAGAATTGAGCTCTTCTGCCTATTGATAATTTTGAACCATTTTGCGACATCCACTTCATGGCCCGTGTCAAGGAGATGCCTGGCGATGGCACTATTTGAAGCATTTGTTCCCTTTAGACATAAGCTTTTTGGTACATGTTCAGAAAATCGTAGATATGTCCTTCTTTCTGTTCTTCCAGTGTAACTGCTCCCGCCGATACATGTAAATTTGTATATAAAGTTGCAGTTAACGTGAAAAGGATATATATCGATTTTTGATTGCATCAAAGAGCAAGTTGTTCGATAGACGGGGACCAGCTTAGCTGCAGGACAGGTTCTGACTAGTGGTGTCCTCAGTCTTCTGTTGACCATTGCTCTAATGTTTCCACCTTTATAATCAAGT